AGAGAAGTTACTTGACTCTTATATATGTTTTTGTTGTGTTTTGGTGTATCTTTTCCCTTCAACATATGCTTCCTTTTTTAGTAGATGAAAAGGAATAAAAAGGAGAAATTAGTGGAGCAAATCAATGAGTAATTTATGGAAAGAGGAGTGGGTGGGAGACAATGGTGAGTCTCCACCAATTAACTCAACAAAACACTCTCAGCTGACCGAGTCAGCCAAAAATGTCTGACTTGACTCGGTCAGATGCATATCACACAGGGTCTAAGTTGTGTAATAGTCCTAAATATTTGTATTTCCTTCTATAAGTAGAAGACTAGATTTAAACATATTATATCGGTTTAGTCTTGGAGTTTATATAGTGGATGGAGTCTTTGGTTATAAACAATAAGATAAAGTAGATAATCGAAACAATCATAGATGCTATTTGGTGGGTGTTATGGTGCTATCGTAATGATTGCAATGTTATTATGGATTTTTGGTTTGATAGTAGAAAAAAGTAAGAGTGTTTATAATTAGGTTGAGTGGTTAAAAAAATCCAATCAAGCCTTTTTTTTTCCCTCTAATATCTTGCTAAAATGTTAATAAAAATCACATACATGTTAAAGCAAATATTATTTTTTGACAAAAATAATATGTAATTTATTAGTTCTGTATTGAACACTTAAAACATCAATAAAGAATGATTTCACATGATTTTAATGGTTTTAATGATATCAAAATTGTTGATGGCACAGTAAATCCATGTAACTTATCATAAATATGTTTATAATTTCATGTTACTTTTAAATTCTTATTATATGTTTTTCTAATATGCGAGACACATGATTAAATTATGTATTTTTCTTATTTTAACAAATTCATCACTAATTCACTACATAAGTAAAACATAAAAATGATCAAAGATGAATAAAACATAAAACTACTGTATTATCAGTTGGCTTGTAAAAGATGTATAAACTCAATATATGTATGATAATATAGCATCCAGAATTTTTAATACATATAATATTTGCCAACGTTAAACATTTATAATGGATACTTAATACTAAGCGTCAATTTATGTGTTGCTAAAATTGATTTGGAAGTCGATGGAAAGTGCTAGTAGGAATCAAATATGACATGTAAGAATATACTTACTTACCAAAAAACAACAAAAATTAGAGAAAATGTTGTGTCATAGTGTCATTATAATAAATTCGTTTGTAACATCCTCAAATTCAGAGTAAAATTCATAGTTTTAACAAGATAAAAATCATTCATTCAATTCCATCATAAGATAATCAGAATATAAAATGTATTCCCAAAAACATCAGAGTAAAAACATAGTGTGGAAATCTCTAGTGGATGCAATGCAATCAAGTCTGACTCTTCCCCTTCCCCTTGCTACAAGAAGTACCTGAAACATTTAAAACTTAAAACCGTAAACACAAAGCTTAATAAGTTCCAAAAATGTCACATACCATACATATTAGTGGGCCCAACCCTAGGCGTATATTTCAACCCATGTGAATGCTATGATCCAACCATAGTTTTACAATCACTTTCGTTGCTACAGTCCCGTTGCAGTCTTTCATGTCATGATCCAACCATGGTCTTCATGTGCTACAACCCAGCTGCAGTCTTTCCTGCCATGATCCAACCATGGTCTTCTATGCAAGTCATAAAGACAAACAAGTGTTGTAATCTAACCACAGTCTTTCATATAAGTTTTGCGATCCAACCACAGTCTTTCATATAGGTGTTGTAATCCAACCATAGTTTTTCATGCAAGAAACACAAAGACAATCTAACAACATATATAGTATAGTGAGAAGACTCACCTGATTCTAGCAAACATTATCCTAACAGCGCTGCTATCGTGAGCTAGATGAATTACTCCCTCTCCAAACACCTGCATCCCATACCAATAACTCTATTTAGATATTTTCTTGATAATATGTATCTTGTATTTTACTTATACGTTTATACTTTTCTACAAGTATTAGGGTATGTGTGTTTCCAATCACAGTCTCTGCTTAGTCCATAGGAGGTACATGGTTGCCTAGGTGCCAAGGTGCTTAACCACGCTTAGGCAATCAATAAAGTTATAGGAGGTGATAAATTTTTAGCATTACGAAGAAGTCGTACATTGATATAAACTTTTTGAGGAATAATCATTATTTGATTAGTCATATTTACATATTCTTTATTTTTCTTAATATTAATTGTTTGTAATTTAAGATCATCAAAGTCTCTAGTCTCCGTTCAAATGAGCTAGTACTGTTTATCGAAATTTTCAACTTTCATTTTATGCTAATTTGAGGCAATAATTGCAAAGAAAATGTGAATGTACCAGTATTTGTATGTCAAATAAATAAATAATTTTAAATCTCTTTTGTTTACCTTTAGAAATCAAAATCCCTTATTATTCAAATAAGAACACTAGTTTGGTAGACAAGAGTCATTATGTATTTTTGGATTTTTCTATTTGGAATTGACTTGTAGGCAATTGATTAGAGAGTGTACAACCATTCAAGGGTGTGCAACCATTCTGTGTATGTGTTCTTAGGTTTTCTCGGATTAAATTTTTTTTGTCCATACCGAAAAATGAACCAAACCAAATTCTAGACAATCAATACCAAACCAAATTACAATTTGGTTTGGTTTGGTTTGGAACATGAGAAAACCAATTATTATGTTCAAAAATAAAATCCATAATTCCAATTTTGCAAATGTAAAATCTAAAGTTTCAAATACAAAAACATTAAATACGAACATAAAATACAAAGTTCCAAACATAAAATACAAAGTTACAAACTTCTCAATATCTTCAATGTGTTCCACATTTATAAAAGAAAGAAGTACCCATCCTCGAACTTCTTAAAATGTTCAATGTGTTCTTTCACATCGACCATGTTGTCGAGCGGATTCAATCTTGACAACATATTAATGCTTGCACAATTTAGGAATAAAATTTTGGCTATTTGGTAAGTAGGGGCCCTAACTAAGTATATATTTAACTTTATTTATTTATTTTTTAAAGTATAAAATTACTAAATTATATAATTAGTAAATAAATAAATTGATTAAACCAAATTCATAATTCGGTTTGGTATGAAACCAAACCAAAATCCGATTTTGAAATTTGGTTTATTCTGAGTTTGATTTCTTTTTCAGCTTCTTTCAGTTGCAAACCAAATAATGGTAACCCCTAATGCTCATTACTGATCTGTAAATTGGGGATTTCTCATGCTCAATGTGCTCTGATTTATGTTGATATGATTGCATGAATTATAAATGAACAAATTTTTTTCTTGTATGGTTGATTCAACTAAACCTAGCGATATTTTGAACCTTGTCGAAGCTGTTGAATTCCCAGATAGTTTGACTTGATTGAATTTGAATATTATGCGTACATTTAAAAAGAATTATAGTAAATACAAGTGGAAAATGTATTTATATAGTAGTAGTAGGGTAATAATCAATATCGGTAGAAACATCAAAAATGTCGATCAAATTAACTCATGAAAACCAGTAGAACAGCGATAATGAATCCAACGCCTCCATTTTGAAACAGGGTTCTTCCATTGCTCTGTAATCAATAAATCAAATCGTCAGTTTTATGTTTTCTTTTTAATTTTTTTAGATAAAAAGTGACATTTTTATAAATAAAATACCAGATCGAGTGTTGGTGATGGTGCTGGTGCTGTATCATCAGAATCTGTGGTGGTTACCGGTGCTGGTGGGCTCTTGGCAACTGGTGCTGGTGCTGGTGCATGATGTTTCTTGTGTCTATGCCTTCTGTGCTTGTGTTTTGTAGGAGCGGGTGCCGGTGAGGGACTCATCTCCGGCGTTGGTGCTGGCGGAAGAGCAACCGGTGCCGGTGCTGGTGTTGGCGGTGGTGGAGCCGGAGCCGGTGCTGGTGGTGGAGGAGTCGGTGCCGGTGTTGGTGGTGGTGGAGGAGTCGGTGCCGGTGCTGGTGGTGGAGGAATCGGTGCTGGTGGAGGAACAGTAGGCGGTGAAGCAACCGGCGGTGGTGTAGGGGCTGGCAATGGCGGTGGTGTCGAGGCTGGCAATGGCGGTGGTGGAGTAGACGGAGCTGAGACGGGAGGAGCAGGAGGAGGAGGAGACGGTGGTTGTGGTGGTGGTATAGATGGGCTAGAAACTGGAGTGACTGGTGGTGGAAGTGGGGTGGTGGAAGGTGGCGGCACTATGGCGGGTGTAGTTGATGGTGACGTGGCAGGTGCTTGTCCTTCGGAAACCACCACCAGAAGGCAGATCAAAGCCGGAACAATAATAATCCTCAACATTTTTTTTTTGTGAATTGTTGTTTTTGAATGAAAAGAATTGTTAATTTATAACACATAAAGCATGTTTAATTTCAGATGAAATCAAGAAAGTTGGTGCTACATGACCTTCATGTGGGTGGTGCATCTCATCTCAGATATGACTTAAAGACCAATCTTGATACTTTCATGATGTCAACTATCTACCTTAAAAGTAATAATAAATTAAATGTCAAAAATTACAAAAATATTGTTTTAATCTATAAACAAAAGATGATCTTAAAGGCATGCTGGATCTTGGATAAAAAGTCCGAACCATGATGAGAAACGGTAATAGATGTCGGCGGAATCAGTGATTCCGGTGGAATTGGCGATTCCAGTTCCGGCGGAATCAGTGATTCCGGTTCCGACTTTTTCTTTCTTCTTAATCGAAAGAAATTTTTCATGATTCTGGAACACTCTTCCGCCAATACTCCTCTTCTAACCACCATGTTTTTGTGGAACGGGTGCACAGGAGCAGACAGTTTATCTACTACATTGGCGTCTTTTCCTTCATTCCCATCGGAAAATAGTCTGTAAAACCATGAGAAAGTTACTAAAAATGGAAATAATTAGTTGATTCTAGCTACTCCATTATTGAAAATTATTTTGCATACCTAATCCAGCTACCATCAGCTCCTAATAGCTTATTTGGAGCTCCCCATACAAGTGTGTCAATTCTGGCTTGTAAAATTGCTCCAGCACACATGGGACATGGTTCAAGTGTTACATAAAGAGTAGTATCCTTCAATTCATTGAGAGTAAAATCAGTAATTACTTAAGATGCAACAAGTGAAAATGGTAAGTGAAAAAGAGAAAAATTAATTACCGAAAGTCTCCACGATCCAAGGGTTTTTGAGGCTTCACGTATACAAATCATCTCTGCATGAGCAGTGGAGTCATGTAATTTTTCTACCCTAAAAATTACACACATCAACTACTATACAAATATATATTCCATCATATGAAAACAAAAATAAATTCCAAAAAAAAAAACTTACAAATTATATCCACGAGCTATAATTTTACCATTATGCACAAGTACAGCTCCAACAGGCACCTCCCATACATCAGCAGCTTTTTTAGCTTCCAAAAGTGCTTCCCTCATAAACATTTCATCTTCTTTTCGTTTCTTAGCCTCAAAACTATACGCCTCTTCCAATTCATCAAACTTGGAATCACTCAAAGACACATGAGAAGTTTTCTTGGTTGGGGGGAATGGAATCGGTGATTCTTGATTACAAGGAATGGAATCGTTATTGGAATCATGACTAGAAAACCATGCTTCGCTAGTAATAGACAAACATGAGGAACACTTTCCGCCACCTGAGTTTGGAATGTGGGATTCCGAACGTGGAGATGAACACCGGAATCGGATTACATCCCCGATAATTGTCAACAAGGACCTGATATTTTTCTTGACACCATCAACAATCTCACTTGAAGATGTTATGTCAAGATCTGATGCATCAGTCATGTGCCACATCTCATCAGAAGGCCCTTTATGACCACTATCCGTGATTCCTTCCACCATTTTCATTTCTAAACTTGAATCATCATGCTCACTGGAAACTGTTGTTATTTTAATCAAATGGTCTGTTTTCTGATGTTTTTCTTCTTTGATGTCTTTAACCATATGACTAACTTCAGTAGATATCTCTTCACAGTTCTTCATTCTACTTTCAGACATTGAAGATGTCCCACTCAAGTTAATTTTCTGAGGTTTTCTCACTTCTGAAATCACTTTTAACTTCTGAGAGCTGAAAGTTGAATCAATAACACTGTTATCTTTATCTGAAAGTTTCTCGAATTGTTTATACTTCATTCTTGATCCTGATTTGTTAGTGACTCTATCAACTGATTCTCCATAATGTCCTTTTACAGTATCTTTCTTCTCCAGTATTTTCCCTAGTTCTTTATCACACCTCCGATCTTTTTTCATAACCCCAGAATCTACAATTTTCTTTTCCATGTTATCACATATAAAGTGATTCTTATCGGTCTTTTTACAGTCTTTTTCACCACTATACTCCAAACCCACCTCATCTGTTAATAAACTAAGCATAACGTCTACATCATTCACATTACCCAAAAACTGTTTTTTCCTCTTGTGCCCAAAACCCCTCTGTCTGTGTTTCCTTCTATCGTTGAAAGAAGAAAGCTTTTCATGGTAATAATTTCCATCAGTAAAGGAAGAAACCCCAGAGGTATTACCATAAAACTGTCTACTGCTACCATGAAAGATTAATCGTTTACTAAGTGACCATTGAATCAAAGTTGATTGGCTTAACCCTTTACATAAAAAGCTAGGGCTTATTACAGTCAATCTATTACACATTGAAATATTAGCAGCAGAATAACAGCAACAACATTTTCGTGATGAAAATAATAATGGGTTTCTTTCAAACATTTCATCGAACATGTAGGAGGTGTGGTTGGATGGTAAAGATAAGAGAGGTCTAGAACTAAGTGATACATCTGGGTTGAAACAAATGGTGTGCATTATCCTTGTGTTCTAACTTCTAATGTGGTTGTGGGTGAGACAGAGAGAGGAAGAGAAGGAAAGGGGTTGTTACCTTGATGTTAGAAGTGACTTTTTCTCGCAGAATCTTTTTCGATCGGGAATGGTGACAGTACAGGGGAGATAGATAGAAAGGACGAGAGTGATAGCATGTCATGTGGACTGTGTTTTAAGGTATTTGACCTGAGGTTAAAGATGATTTGTAGTCGAGTAGTTGGGAATGATGACAGTAGTTTACTGATAACGATGTCAACAATTCGTTTAGAGGTAGTTGTGCTTAACAACATTTACTCCCTCTAAAATAAACGAATTTTGTTTATTTTTCCAATTTTTTTTAAATTTATTTGTTTGATGAGTTAATAAAGTAGTTAATAAAGCTGGTTTATAAGTTAACTTTTTGAAATTAGGAGTTTTTTTAAAAATCTTTTGAATATACATATTAATTAATTATAGAAAACATCAGTTAGTTTTTACTAAACAATCATTTTTTATAAGTTTACAACTAGCTTTTAAGTTAGTCTGTCAAACATAACCGTAGTAACATCTATTCCTAAATCATGACCATGGACATATGATTGAAATAACATTGTATTTTCATAAACATTATACTACTTACTAAATTTAAGTTCGGAAATAAGTCAAATAACATTTAAAGTGTATATGATGTTTATTTGTTATAAGGTTGGGGGTTGGCTCGGCACCACCCCTTGACATTATTGGGACGGCCACACATTGTCCCACATCCTCGGTATGCTAAGCTCAACAAATGGATTCAACCACAACTTAAAGGTGAGAGAATAAACTAAGTTTAAAAAAATATATGTTTTTTATTTCAAAATTTCAAAATTTTAACCACTTGTCAACAAAATAAATACTAATAACTATCTTCATTTTTTATCAATTTCAACCTTTAATGTTGATCTTATTTCTCTCAAACCTTCAACACTCATCTTACATCTCTCAATTTTATTTTTGCAAAAATGTCTTCCTCAAACGTTCAACCTGGTTCCTCGATTGTACCTTGGAGCACGATAGAAGATGTAGTTTGGCCATTGCATGAGTCGATGCATTGGAGGACCCAAGGGTTGGCATCAACAAAAGTAGGTTATTTTTTTGGAGCAAAATCACCGATTGTTTTCTCAACGAGAATTGAATCGAGATCACTACCACACTTAAGATCAAATATACATAAAATGGAGGAACACGAACAATGTTGTAATAGAGTTTGACGTTCTGTTTAATAAAGTAGAATACGATTAGCCAAATGATGAAATATGATGCAATGGTTTTAAACACCGCTCTTTGAATTTTCTGTCAAGAAAACAAGAAAGTTTTGCACTATGTACAAAAGATGTAGACTTGTGTAGAATTGTCAAGGGGTGCGCGAACCATCATCAAATGTGATACATAGTTTTTTTTTTATGTTTATTATTATATTTTAATTAAAGCGGTGTTATGTATTTTTAATTTAAATTAACGAAATTTTTAGTTTTTTATTTCATATTATGTAAAAAAAATCAATTTAATAAAAATTTAGTTTTATATAAATTAGATTGTTTAAATAATAATCAAAAAGAAAAAAAAAACTTGT